GTGTGTGTGTGTGTGTGTGTGTGTGTTGAAGCAGTAACAGGAGGCCCACAAGCAGTTGATTCAAAGAGTTTAACTAAATGACGACGGCCTAATAACCTGAAAGCTGAAGCTTTTATAGAGCGTCAACACACGAATGATGCATCTCATTGCTCCGACTGTGGTGGATGGTCAGTGAACTTGTTGTCAGGTTTGGGCATGGGTGAATCCTCTCTGCCTTTAATAGCATCAGTAGAGTCATGTATGTACTGTAGAGGGTCTCCTCCACCATGATCTAACCAATGACATCCACTCTGGATGACATCACATCCTTTTTTTGGGACAAGTGCAGGGCAATTTTTTGTTGGAACCGAATGCTACCGTGAACGAACCTTTAGACCGACACATCTATTTTTCCTGACCGGCGTGTGCAAACATCTGCATTTAAAGCTTTGTTTGCTCTGGGCTACCGTAGAAACATGGCGGCCGGCTCCGTGAAGAGGACCTGCTCCACATGTAGATTTATGTCACATTCTGAGGTAACGAAAACACGATTCTTATTTTCAGGCGATGTCAACATGTCATCCCCATCCTTAAAAGGGGCACTCGGGGGATTTAGTAACACACTTCCATAAAGTTGGGAGACAGATTTTAAAGACAAGAATCAAAAATCTGCGCAGCGGAGGCAGAGTTATCCTACATGTTAGTTCTCAAGCTCCAAAAAGCCTAGATCCTACATTTTCCACAATACATCCAACCAACAAAATAATTTGGTTGGACGCTCTCTGCCTGGTGAAAACCCTCCAGAGCCATACAAAACATTACTTGACAAGCATATTAACCTTCATTTGTAAAATTGAAGGAGTTCCCCTTTAATGATGGAGGAAGTAATACCGGCATTACTAATCAACTTTCACTCAGGAGTCACAGAAAGGAAGAAACAACCCACAGACATCTACAGTACAGCAGAGGCCCATTAAGTTCCACACTGAGCAGGACACAACAGCTACATGTGTACGTGTGTATCAGTGAGTTATCATGATACCGTTTCCTCACAGAGAGGAACAGTAAACAGGACATCTCTGTAAAACCTCCGAGGGTTTGTTCAATGACCCAGTGACAGATGACCTGATCAGCCCTCCTGATCAGGAAGGCTGTGACAGTTGACAGACCACACACACACACACACATTTATCAAGCTCCTCAGTCAGATTACCAGCGCTGATGCCCCTTAAGCTCGTGTATCCTCGTCCAGTGTGATAACGCTAACTCGATGTACTGCAAACGGGAGGTCTAACATCACCGTTTATCAGGGCTGTGGAGGCTGTGCGTTCGCTTTGTTGTCACAGAGAAACACTCAGCGATCGGAGAGTGTATCCTCATGAGGATCAGATCAGCAGATCTCAGATCAATAGAGCCTTTCATCCTCTCATGCTGACAGACAGCACGACTCTATTCTGAGTCGGTCTGTGTTCAGATTACAGTGGTTCCCACACAGTGAAATAATATAACTGTTTAATCTGGACCGTCCTTGACCTGCCGCTACCAAACACTGAGCACACACACACACACACACACACA